AGGGTTTGGGGTTTGGGGCTAAGGGTGTTGGGGATCACACGTTTGGATTTAACTTCATTTGCGGCCTTTTTGGTGTAGGGCCTTAAGATCCAGCTGCTGCCATCGCGAGCCTGCTGCGGCTGCGCTTCTCTCACGTCGGCGATGACGCCGTACCTACTACTGACTGGTGGTGGTTGTGATAGTAGAAGCAGTAAGTAGCAGTAAGTACCAGCAGTAGCAGCAGTAGCAGAAGTAGCAGTGACAGCAGCAGCAGCAGCAGCAGCAGCAGGAGCAGGAGCAGGAATAGAGGCAGGAGCTAGTAGCAAGAGCTAGTAGCAAGAGGTGCAGCAGAACCACCAACACCAGCACCATACAAACTGGTTTACAGTCACTACCACCAACACCAACGTCACCATCAACGTGAGTTCGAGGAGCATCGGTTTACCCTTCGAAAGCGTTCACATGCTGGCAGCCCATCCGAGAGGACATTCGGGACTTGGTAGAGCTGACCGTGGGCAAGATGGAAATGTACCACCTCGTGGCCGCGCTCTTCATGGAGTCCTCCATGGCTCTGTATTTCGAGGGTCGAATACGCCACATTGCACCGCCCTTCGTGATCGGCCTGCTGTTCATCTCGATTGCTAGCGCATATATGCCGGCAGCTCAGGAAAAGGACCAGTGCAGCAGATGTTCGCATGTACATGTTCGTGCTCATGGCCATTCCTGAACCCTAAACCATTAGCATTTTTGAATCTTAAACCGTTAAACCTTAAAGGCCCCACGCGCTAAACCCTAAGCTTGTCTGGGCCGAGGTATCTCCTGCTTGCTGTGTGGCTCAGCATGCACGCTTCCATCTGCTCCCACAGCCTCGGTGTGAGGCTGCTGACTCGCTTTGTGGCTACGCCGCAGACAGTTCAAGCGCGTTTGATTTGTACACCCTGGCTTGAGACGGGGGTGGAGGAGCTGATGCCTAGACCTAGACCTGCTCGCAACTCTCGGAGTCTGCTCGCGTTCACAGAAGTCTCCCCGAATCCCGGACCTGCCTGCCAATCTACGAAGCTGGCCTTCTTCTGGCTTTATCTAGGTGCAGGTACACCAGAGAAGTGCGCACACGCTCAGAGCACACGCCGCAAGGTTCGTCTTCCCGTGCCGGGCATGCAGCAGATGGGGGCTCTCAATGCCCGCTTGGCAGACTACGAGCGACAAGGTGAAGGGCTCAGGTTTAGGGTCATTGCAACAGCAAGGGAGTAATCGTAGAGGTGGTGATGCAGACAACTACAACAGACTGCAAGTGCATTCACATCAGTCGCAGTGTTCATGGATCATCCTTCTCTCATCCTGCCGGTCCTTTTCATGTCGTCATAGCTACCATACGAACCATGGTATGCCTGATAGTCAAGCCGGTCAGCATGAACTTGTCGTTCATACTGGTTGCAGCTTTCGCTTCATTCCACATAATCAGACGTAGAACATACTACCAGGGAAGCATAGTCGCGCGGTCCCAACCCAGAGATGGTTCACCTCATGATCCTCCTCCTCCGCCTTTTCATCATCATCGTCGTCATCATCATCGGCATCATCATGACTATCGCAGTACGTGGATTCATAAACGGGTAGCTGCAGGTCACCATCTTCAGTCATGCCTTGTGATGCCTATGTGAGATCCCTTAGTCAATGTAGCTTTAAGAGAGTATGTACAGCAGGATTCAACAGGTCGAGGCCGACGCTTTAGGGTTTGGGGTTCAAGGTTGTCTTAGACCACAAACCCCCCCTCTCTGCAGGCGTGAAGAACATGCTTCGCGTGCCTGTGGTTGGGGCCACGCAGCAGTGGGGGAAGCCAGGGCAGCGTCTTGATGCCATCCAGGAGGCGAGCTGACGAGGGTTTCTTCACATCAGGAGCTCCTCATGATAATTTATTGGGCAAGGATTTAGGGATGCGGGTCACTGAGTTTCTGAATCTGCCTGGTGGTGATGACAAACAGAATACCGAGACATGTAACAGTAGCGACACAATGAGTTATTGCGACTGGTAAATCGAATGCTGATGCTCCCGGAATCCATGGCAGTCTTGGCCCTAACAGGGACGCCAAAGCCGTTTGAAAAGGACCTAAAACCCCATTAAACCCCTAAATCCCTAACGAAAATAAAGCTTTCTGTCAGAGGGGCGAGCAGGGCCGACTTTGCTCTTTCTGCGCAGGGTCAGCCGTCAGCTGGAACCGATTTTCTTGGCGAAGGCAAGAAGCATGGGGACAAACATTGAGGGAGAATCAGGACTAGTAGCCACACCAATGTTGCTACTTACGTATGATCATTATCGTAAAAAGGCACCGTCGCCAGGTTGATAGTTTTGTGAGAACGATGGTGGCTTTGCAAGTGGTAGCGGCATGTTGTATAGCACTAATGCGGCTATGAACTAGTCGTGGCCAGGATGCAAAGTATCCAAGCACTCGTGATAGACAACTGTGCTGATGAGACTGATGTGATTCGTGATGTCAGAGGTCGTCAGAGTATAGGACATTTGGCCGCAGTCATATTCAGAGTTCCATGATCGTATCATAATGTTCACCATCACAATCACCTTCACGACCATCATAATGACCACAGTGCCAGTAGCAGTGGAACAGTGACAGCGATAGCCCGACACATCACCATAGCAACAGCAATAGCATCGCTGGCGCTGGTGCCTTCCGTCGCCTTGAGAATAAGCTGATAAGCTTGGAACCGAAGGTGTGAAAGCCTTCAACAAGGACGACAACATCCTCGGCACGGCCCAGGCGCAGGGCATCGAGACTCCAGGGTCCTTGTAAGCCCAGGCTAATCTTAAGGAACTTGAGGTGCACACCAGGCCTGCGAACCGACCCTTTTTTGCCTTGCTCCAATTCCAGGGAACCCTTGGTAAGCATGTGGAGCTCTTCCGGAAGTTGCAGTCCAAGTGGCAGCTCCTTGGCTCTGGCAAGATGCGTGTCGGGTTGGGCGGGGGTTCAGGTTGTAGGGTTTAGGATTCAGGGTTCAGGGATTAGGGTGTCAAGGTCGCCTAGTTTTTTGTCATTGCTGTTGCTCGCATCGGTGGTCGTCGTCGCCGTCGTTGTTGCGCTTTTCTTTGTTCATTGTCGTTGTCGTTTTCTCCGTCATGCACCGGTCTAAAGCTGTTAAAAGCATCTAGAGCCCAAGTCCCACCCTAAACCCTACACCGCCAATTCCCCGAAGATCCCCGGGACCGGCGCAAAGTGCTGGCCGAGGAGAAGAGCACCGAGCTCAGCCCAATAGGTTTAGAGCCCGAAAACCCTCAGCGAAATATACAGCCCAAGATGATAAACCCCAAGTGGTTGGAAGGATTAAGGCCAATCAGTGCTGGGATTCGCTACACATTACTCTTAAGGATTGAGGCTATTGGGCTCCCAACTTTTGGGGCTTTATGGCTTTGAGCTTGAACGGCATCCGAATGAAAGAAGCTCCAGACCTGACCCTCCCGACCGGTAACAAGCCCCTAGACCTTGAAGCAGTATGACCCTCGCGTGAAGGTGCTTTGATGCGTATGCTCGGGTCTGCATGGCTCTGGGGGCGAATCAGTTGCTCGGCTGGCCAGAGATACCCAAACCCCCTAAGGCCGAGGAAGCCAAGGACACTTTGGGTTTTGCGGTTCAAGGCTCCCTAATCCCTAAGCCCTAAACCCTAAACCCTGGTGGAAAAGGGCCCGTAAAGAAAAAAAAGCACTAAAACCTAAACCCTAAACCCTTCCGGCTAGGGCTTGCGGCTTTGGGTTCAGGGTTCAGGGTGTTGGCGCCGTCACGAGGGCAGCTCAGTTCGGCAGGCCAGTAGAGGATGCTACTGCGCTGGTGTAAGTAAGAACAGAAGCGGCAGAAGTATCACAGACCGCCATGTGATCCCGCTTTGCTGCAGCAGAGTCTGTGAACCTCTATGACGGATGGCGGGGAGATAGCAACTACAGCCAGGTGGGTAATGCTCCAAATTAGGGTCCTACAGGTGCCGTACTATTTTGGGAATCGGAAAAGGGACTTTTATTTAGAGAACTAGCCAGGTTGTCCCCAAACCCTAAAGCCTGAACCCAACACCGCCTAAATGGCAAGTGCAGCCAGGTTGCTCTTGGGCCTGCAGTACCACAATTTAGAGAACGACGGTTGATGATATAGATCCTGCACTACCTTCAGGACCCTAGGAATTATGGGATGTTCCTTGATATGGGTAATGCATCAACCGTACCCAGGTTGCTCCTGGGCCTGCAGTACTACCACCCCAAACTTCAACCCTTGACGGTTTAGGGTTTAGGGTTTTAGAGAACTCCCGAGGTTGCTCCTGGGCCTGCAGTACTACCTGGTGGTGACCTGCATCATCCAATACAGGCGCCTTGGTCTCCAAGTCGCTTCGCAGCGAGTGAGGGCTGAGGCCCCGGCTCAGGGCTTTGACACCGGGGGCTTTATAGGGGAATATCTGAATCTGTTCTCTTGGCTTCTTGTGCCTGTTTCTCGCTAAAGCTCGTGCTGTTCCTACGTTTGCTTGCACTTGCATCCCTGTTGTCGTGATAATTCGGACTACAGCTGTTGGAGCCAACTCCTTTAGCTCGGCTTTTTGACGACCTCTTCGTGGTTTGCAAGCAGGTCTCATGGTTTGGGGCTTCGGGTGTGGTTTTGGGCTCTCGAAGCCCCCGCAGAACACGAGAAAATTTTTCCAGAGGTACGGTTGACGCTTTGTGCTGAGCCTAGGCGCTGCTTGCGTGTTAAGATAGCCACTCGTGCAGCGATGATGTTTGCTTGCAGGAGCCTCAGTTCTGATTACTCTAATCCCCTGATATCCTCAGCCCGAAATGCGAGGCCCTAGGCCCAAGGCCCTAAACTCCAAAACTATTGAGCTTCCAGACACCCATTTCGAGCAGACGGAAAGCTTATAAAGCCCCTGAGCCTTAAATGAACCTGAAAACACTATACCCTATTTACGGCCTCTATAATTTAAGGCATAT